GGGACCTGGGCTTGGGGGGGGGGGGAACCCAGACATCCAGTGCAGAGGGGACCCAGGAGTCCCGGTGCAGAGGGGACCCAGGAGTCCAGGTGAAGGGGACCCAGGCATCTGGGTGGAGGGGACCCAGGCATCCAAGCGAATGGGACCCAAGTGTCCGGGCAGAGGGACCCAGGCATCCAGTGTGGAGGGCACCCAGGAGTCCCGGTGCAGAGGGGACCCAGGTGTCCAGTGCTAGAGGACCCAAGTGTCCAGGTGGAGGGACCCAGGCATCCAGTGCGGAGAGGACCCAGGCGTCTGGGCGGAGGGGACCCAGACATCCAGGCGGAGGGGACCCAGGTATCCGGGCGGACGACACCCAGGAGTCCCGGTGCAGAGGGGACCCAGGAGTCCGGGCGAAGGGGACCCAAGTGTCCAGGCAGAGGGACCCAGGCGTCTGGGTGGAGGGGACCCAGGTATCCAGGTGGAGGGGACCCAGGAGTCCGGTGCAGAGAGGACCCAGGCGTCTGGGTGGAGGGGACCCAGACATCCAGTGCGGAGGGGACCCAGGAGTCCCGGTGCAGAGGGGATCCGGGTGTCCGGTGCTAGAGGGGACCCAGGAGTCCAGGCAAAGGGGACCCAAGTGTCCAGGTAGAGGGACCCAGGTGTCCGGTGCAGAGGGGACCCAGGTGTCTGGGTGGAGGGCACCCAGGAGTCCCGGTGCAGAGGGGATCCGGGTGTCCGGTGCTAGAGGGGACCCAGGAGTCCAGGCAAAGGGGACCCAAGTGTCCAGGTAGAGGGACCCAGGTGTCCGGTGCAGAGGGGACCCAGGCATCTGGGTGGAGGGCACACAGGAGTCCTGGTGGAGAGGGGACCCAGGCGCCCGGTTGCTAGAGGTCCCAAGCGTCCAGGTGGAGGAGACCCAAGTGTCTGGTGCAGAGGGGACCCAGGCGTCCGGGCGGAGGGGACCCAAGTGTGCGGTCAGCAGTGGTGGGGCGAGCGGGGGTAGCGCTGGCGCAGCTCGGCACGGAAGTGCCGGAAGAGCTGCCGGTTGCGGTGCAGCTCGGCCTCCCGCCCTCCGTGGAAGCCGCCGGCCTCCTTGAAGCCGCGGTGGACGACGAAGGCTCCGTCCAGCACCGCGAAGCGGAAGCCGGCCATGTGCAGCTCGCACGACTGGGGGGGGAGGGGGGGGCACACCGTCACCCATGGCACCCCCACACACCCCTATAGCACCCCAGACCCCCATAGCACTCATTGATGCCTTATAGCACCCATAGATCCCATAGACCCACAGAGCACCCATAGATCCTCTATAGCACCCATAGATCCTCTATAGCACTCATAGAACCCCATAGCACCCACTGATGCCTTATAGCACCCATAGACCCACAGAGCACCCATAGATCCTCTATAGCACCCATAGATCCTCTATAGCACCCATAGATCCTCTATAGCACTCATAGAACCCCATAGCACCCATAGACCCCCCATAGCACCCCCTGATGCCTCACAGCACCCATAGACTCCCATAGCACCCACTGATGACTTAGAGCACCCATAGATCCCATAGACCCACAGAGCACCCATAGATCCTCTATAGCACCCATAGATCCTCTATAGCACTCATAGAACCCCACAGCACCCACTGATGCCTTATAGCACCCACAGAGTCCCATAGCACCTATAGACCCCCATAGCACCCACTGATGACTTAGAGCACCCATAGACCACCATAGCACCCATAGACCGCACATAGCACCCCCAGACCCCCATAGCACCCATAGACCCCATAGAGCACCCAAAAAGACACGTAGCACCCATAGATCCCTATAGGACCCATGGACTATCTACAGCACCCTTAGACCCCCTACAATACCCACAGACCCCCATAGCATCCATAGAACCCCACAGCACCCACAGACCCTCTATAGCACCCATAGTCTCCCTAAGAGCACCCGTAGCCCCATGACCACCCCACAGCTCCCATGGCCACCCTATGGTCACCACGGCCACCCCACAGCACCCAGGGCCACCCCATAGCCCCATGGCCACCCTATGGTCACCATGGCCACCCCACAGCACCCAGGGACACCCCATAGCCCCATGGCCACCCTATGGTCACCACGGCCACCCCAAGCTCCCCTGGCCACCCCGCAACCCCCTGCCCCACGGCACCTGGCTGATGCGGTTGAAGCCGTACTGGAGGAAGCGCTCATCGAAGGGTGGCACGCCATGGGCCGGCCCCACGTAGAAGGGCTCCCATGGGTCACGCCACGGGGCCTCGTAGGCCACGCGCAGGTGAGGGGTGGGTGGCAGCGCCCACCAGCGCCCGTAGCCTGTGGGTGCTTGGCACCGGGGGCACAGTGCCCCATAGAAGGGCCGGGCATCCCCCGTGCCCCACAGCCCCCGAAGCTCCGCCTTCGTCCCCGGCACCCGTGTGCCCGTGCGGACCTCGAAGGCCGGCAGCACGAACACCACCCGGTCCCATGACGGTGTGGTGGCACCCAGGGAGTTGGGGTCCTCCAGGGCATTGGAGTCCTTCAGGGCGTTGGGGTCCTCCAGGGTGTTGGGGACACCTGGGTCACGGAAGCCCTTGGGGATCTCCAGGGCTTGGGGACACCGGGGTCACGGAAGCCCTTGGGGACCTCCAGGGCATTGGGGACACCTGGGTCATGGAAGCCCTTGGGGACCTTCAGGGCATTGGGGACACCGGGGTCACGGAAGCCCTTGGGGACCTCCAGGGCGTTGGGGACACCTGGGTCACGGAAGCCCTTGGGGACCTCCAAGGCGTTGGGGACACCTGGGTCATGGAAGGTGTTGGGGACCTCCAAGGCATTGGGGACACCTGGGTCACGGAAGGTGTTGGGGACCTTCGGGACATTAGGGACCTGCAGAGCGTTAGGGACACCCACATTGCTGATGGCGTTGGGGACACCTGGGACATTGGGGACACCCGGCGCGCTGGGGACACCCAGCCTGTTGGGGACCTCCAGGGCGTTGAGCACCCCAGGGTCATTGGGGACACCAGGGACATGCGGGGGGTCCAGGGCGCTGGGGACCCTGAGGCCACCAGGAGCCCTCCCTGCCAGGGGGTGCCCCAAGACCCCTGGAGCCCCCAAAGCTTTGGGGTCCCCCAAGACCCCTGGAACCCCCAAGACATTGGGGTCCCCTAAGAGTCCTGCAGCCCCCTGAGCTGGGGGGTCCCCCAAGA